ATGGCAACGGTTGTGACGGCGATGTGAGTGATGGTGGAGGTGATGGCACCATGGATAGCGGGGATAGCACTAGAAGAAGCAACGACGATGGTGTTTAAAGAAACAGAAATTGTGAATCTGCTTTTGCTTAATTATCTAAGCCTGAGAGACACCCAGATCTAGGTTTAAGAACTAGGTTTTTCTCAAACCCAGATCTGGGTTTTTCTCAAACATGCATAAATAAAAGTGCACGAATATTCATAGAAGCTGTGAAGCTCTATGAATTAAAATGGCATCTTTTTGGTAGATCTCAAAACCCTATCTTTTCTCTACGTTTAAAGACTCTTCTCCGTTTCTCTCAAGAACGAGCTAGCCACTAGTGAGAGATTCATTTTTGTTCTGTTTTTTCAAACTCCTATGGTTGATTCTTGGTCTTGATTTTGCTACTTTTCTTTGTCTTGATGGAACTAGAATTTTCGGTTCTCTTTAAACTAGTTCTCGCTGGTTTCTATGTTGATTTCGCCGGCATTTTGGGTTCTGGTTTGCTACATATCGAGTCTCCGATGGTTCGATATTGTTTCTTTTTGATTTATTCGCATCCACGTGATTTGACTTGGTTTGGTGATATTCGAATGCGTATTTGATTTTTTTTTGTTAGAGTTTGATTTAGTTTCTCTTTTGTTGCGTTTCAGTGGTGTCGGAGGAGTCATTTGGGTTTGATTTGGAGAGGAAGAAGAAGGGACAAGAGAGAGAGAAAGTGAAAGAGGAAGAAGAGATGACGTGGAGGTTTTTTTGTTAGACTATGGTTTAGTTTCTCTTTTGTTGCGTTTTAGTGGTGTTGGAGGAGTCATCTAGGTTTGAGAAAAACCCAGATCTAAGTTTGATTTGGAGAGGAAGAAGAAGGGACAAGAGAGAGAAAGTAAAAGAGAAAGAAGCGATGACATGGATGCAAAAAAAAAAAATCATTATTTTTACATTAAATAAAATGCCAACTCATAAAAAAAAAGCTGTCATGTCATTAGTTAAGAAAAAAAAAAAGGATTTGCTGGCAAGTTAACAGGCCACCTGTCCATTTAACTGATGGAATGACAGTTTTGTACCAAAAATAAAAGTTTAAAAATAATTTTGGTACTTTTTAAAGTTGAAAAACAATTTTGGTACCAAAGTAAAAAGTTGAAGGACCAAAATAATACTTTAACCAACAATTTAGTATGTGGCCATAACCATTTTTGTTGAGACAGCTTTATAGTGTGACAATTACATGAGACGGAGCTAGTATGACACTATGACTTAATTAAAAGATATTTTTGGGCACCTCTAACATGTACACTTAGCATACATGTCAAAATAACCCCTCACAAAAACTTTGACTTGCAAGATATTCCCAAATCAAAAACAAAGATAGGATCAGCAGGAGGGAAAGGCACATGCTAGTGCTAGAAAGAAAAGCAAAAAGAAAGGACCCTTTTATAAAACCCCTCCTCATCAATTGGCTTTTTGTAACTGGTGAAGGCATGAAAGATGTAATAGCGGAAGCAGATGGATGCAGCGAAGAAAATAAATTGCCTCCAGAAAAAGCTTTGAATGGTCTCTGCAAAAAATGGAAAGACGCTGCAGCCCACTGCCCAATGGCGCTGATTTATCTTGAGAACACTGAATGAATTTGCAAATGGGGTTTGTTTGTGTCTGTGTGTTTGAGAATTGAGAGCGACGACAGAGTCTGCCTCTGGCATTAACCCTCACAACTGTGGCACTGAAAAACATGGTGCTTTAATGCAATTTACATTTTACATTTATTTATTAACAGCAGCAGATGTACAGTACGGTAGTGGGGAAAAAGGAAGGAAAAGGACTCCCTCTGGGCCTCTACCCTCTCTCCCTTATGCTTTGTTTTTGAGTTTTTGTACCTCCTTGTTGGTATACTTTCATTTTCTCCCTCATAAATGAGCTTTATTATTAAAATAATTTGCATCTAAATAATAATTAAAGACTTAAACTTGAATTTGTAAGTATAATTTGCATTTATTCATACTAATTAAGCAAACTCTGAAGAGACAGAACATTTTATCATTTTATTTTGGACTTTAAACAATTAAAGTCAAATGAAAATAAATTATATTGGATATATTTTAAAAATAAAAAATGAGAAAATAATTTACGCATACCCTATTTTTTAATAAGTATGAGAACGTGAGGTTGTAATAAATATGGAGTATATGTTGGCAAGAATCATCTCACGCTTTCATTTTCTGTTATAAATTATGGTCAGTCATGTTATTCATTTCCTGGATTCTGACTCGCTCAGGCTACAAAGATCCCCAAATAGTCCAAATAGAAAATCCAAAACAACCAAAATTCGAGGCAACAAAACTGTTGACTCATCTCTCCTCATTCAATGAAAATTTCGGATTAGGAAAACACTATAAAAACAGATACTTTTATAAATGTGTACAAATTAATGACAAAAATTAAAATTAACCCACATGAGATAATTATGAAATAATTCTTTATTTATGACCCACAAAAAAATGAAATAAGTAAATGATTATTAATTTATGTATTTTATGTTAAATAAAAATAATATATAAAAATTAATGGTGTATCATATTATTAATAAAAATTATCAATCAATCATTTTTGATAAAAGTGAAATCCATATACCAACAAAACTTTCATTTGTAAGGAAATTACACCACAAGAATTGCATTTTGCAAGATACAATAATGCAATACAAACTATGGTCCATCAAGATTATCAATTATTATCAAAACACACACTTGATTTGCATTTGGAACTCAAAACAAGGAAATTGTCATGCGGAGGTGTTATTTCTTGAAACCGCTGCTTGCAAGCATGGCAAGTGATTTCAAGAATAATGGAATTGATTTGCTTGATTGCCTTATCTTTCAAAGCTCGAGCCTTACTAACTTCAGCTTGTGCTTGTTGCCTAATCCTCTTTGCATTCGCAAACTCTAGCTCGGCTAACTCAACATGTCTCTTTGCGTCCTGTCTCACTGCCTCAGCATAGGCTTTCTCCTCCATGGCCAACTTCAACTGCTTGCGTGCTGCTTCTTCAAACCCGGCCTCCGGTTTCTCACTCTCCTTACTACTCTCGCTGTAATCAGATGATCCAATGGAGAGTTGCAGCTGAGTAGAATGATTCTGGTCACCATGATCATCATGGTCATCTTTCCTTGGTGAATAATCCTGATTTGATATGGTTAAGAGCTGGAGCTCCAAATTGTGGTGAAGCGCATTTCTGGGAGAATTATTTTGTGTAGGGCTCAAGAACATGGGATCTGTACTCGGCTTTGCCAACATCAAACCAGGCCAAGGAGCAGTGCTGAAATTGGTATCACTGGATGGAGTACTCAAGCTCGAAGCTGTTCGGGACAAACAAGCTGCCGGCTGCAGCCCTTGAGATTCCGATCGAATACGCCCCATATGGCAAGCATCTTGATGTTCAATGAAACTCTCAACCCTACAATTAAACAAAAAAGAACAAAGGAAAAAAAATATGCATATGCACTTTATATATATAGTTTCTGCTAGGTTATATATAATCATCAAATTTTACGTAATATCGATTAAATGAAGAAAGAACACTATTTTCAAATAATATTCAAGATATTATACTCAGGAAAAGTGGTGTTTTGGATTTTGAAACAAACAGTAGTTTAGACAACCCAACAGAAACTCATATTTGGGAACTGTGTTTTAACTATCCATAAAACATCTCTTTGGAGAAAACTGCATTAAGGTTCCCATAATTGCTCAGTATTCAGAAAGTAAATACCTTTTTTAATTTCATTATCCTTTTGTTTTCAAGTCAAAAACTCAAGCTAGGAAACGGGCTTTTTAAAAGAGAATTCAATATGAAATTTTAATCATGGGCTTTGGAACCCATAAAATGCTTCTCCCAAAGCACTAAAAAACGTAAAAGGAAGCTTTTGTTCCAATTGCACAGATCTATATGAATATCGTTCCGAAGGAACGGTATTTTTGAAGTATATTACTTTTTATACTTCACAAGCTAGTTCTTAGCTATTGCAGGAGTTTAAGTATTTGAAAGAAATTAAATTAACCTGGAGAAAACTCGGCCGCAGTCGCAAGAATGTCCGCGGGTACCGCAGGTCTTAAGATGGGCCTTATAATCAGATTGAACAGCATAGCCTTTGGAGCACTTCTCGCAGACCCACTGCTTATGGTTACTGTGTTTTCTCCTAAAATGCTTCTTGATCCCAACCAAATCGCCTAAGGCATGGCAGGGATCATGGTGCAAGCAACTCGGTTCCGGACACACGAACACGCGCTTCCTAGCCACCGGCGTCTCCCTTTTCAACAACTTCCATGGCACCTTATGCCGCCGCCTGTGCATCTGCAGGTTTTGATCCCTTTGAAATCCTTGGTTGCAGATCTCACAAACATAACGATCTGATTCCAGTAGTGTCTTGGGCGAAAGTGAAACCACCTCCGCATCTGGATCTGCATCAATATATAATTAAGCTTTTCCTTTTCAAAAGAAATTGAACAAGAAACAAAGGAAATTAAATGATGAACATACCTGGTGTTCCAGCTGGTTTTCTTTTCTTTTTATTGCTATTACCATTTTCTAAGCAAGAAAATGGATCAGAAGAAGGAACTGAAGAGCAAGAGGTATTGGTTAACATGGGTTTTATTATAAACTTGCAAGTTTGATTTCTGAGTTTTTGAAATGAAGTAATTATGGAGATTGAGGGAGGAAGAGAGAAAGGTAGAGCACCAGGGAGGAAAAAGGGATTTCTTTCTTTCGGTTAGATGAACAGCTTTCTTTAATTTTAGGCTTTTAAAGTTCCACCTTTTGGATCAGCTTTTGTGCTTCTTTCAACCCTTGATCATCTTCTCGTCAGGTATTTGTGTGAAGAGAGGGGCGTCCTTAATAGAACTGAGAGAGAGAGAGAGTAAGATGGTCCCTCAAACAGAGATGGGCCACAAGAAGAAACATCGCAACAGAAAGGAACAAGGATGTCATAATTCATCTCACACACGGTAAAACTTTTGCATGCCCCTATATAACACCCCTCTCAATATACACACGTAGCCCCTCAAGGCCCTAACACTGTTTCTCATCATTTCTCTCTTTCGTACAGTGAGTGCAATGACCAAGTTGTCATTTTGAATCTCATTCAAATAACTAAAAGAAATATCTCCGAATAATCCTTTGAACTTTCTGAACTTTCTCAATGGGTCCTTATAGTTTTCTAGGGGCTGTTTGGTTAGAAGCCAATTTTATTAGAAAATTTTTTACAGAAAAAGTGATTGGAAAAGCATTGTACGAAAAATTTATAAGTTTTATAATGAAGTTTTGTTAAAATTTTATTTGATTGTTAACTTTGTTATATTTAGTAAAAAATTCATATAAGAAAAGTTTTGAGGAAAGTTATTAAGGGAGTTTTATATAAGAAAAATTAAAAAAGTATGAAAAGAAAAGTTCATTGATTGAAAATTGTTCCCAAGGAAATTATACATCAAATAATAATAATAAAGTGTAAAAATTCCACTTTTTCCCTCCTTTTAATGTAATATTAAAGTGTAAAAATACATAAATAACCTTATAAATAAAAAAAGTTTAAAGGAAAGTATACCTCAACAAAATAGGCCCTGAGAATAACCCCAACCAATTTCTTGAGGGACTTATAGAAATTTGCTTAGTGTTTGTTGGGTTTGAGTTTCTTTCTTCGGATAGTTTTATTTGGACAAGTTATTTGGAAAGTATTGTTAAGAAAGTTAAAAACTTTTGTAAAATTTAATTATTGTATTGTTAATTATTTTTCCATGTTCAGTTGCAAGGATCTTTTTTTGGTCAAATATTCGGTAGTTAGTTCACATTATTATAAAAATAAATTCCAAGTAAGTTCTAGAAGAAGATGTGCCAAGAAAAAAAAAAGTTCCAATGGAGAAAAGTGAAGTTTTTACCTCCCAAAAAGATGCTAAGAAAAACTTTTCCATTAGAAATTGTATGAAGGGCCAAAAAATGAAATTAAAATGTTAACTTTATATTTAGTTTGTTTATTATATATTTTTTTGTTATGATAAAGTTTATCATACTATTGAGATGTAAACATAACATGAACTTTGAACTTTCCTAAATTTGGTGAGAAAGACTTTTGGTTAAAATCTCAATTTTGGTTCTTTAACTATGGTATAGACTTCTAATTTAGTCTCTAAACTAAATAAATCTCAATTTTGGTCCCTAAAAGTTTAAATTTCAACTCCTTTTTGTCTTTTCTTCACATTTTAAGTTAATTGATTTTAAAACCTGTTTTTTCAAATTAATAATGTGAAAATTTTGCACAGCAAAAATTGATAATATGGATAACATTTAGTGGCCATATTGACTTTAAAAGCTTTTTAATCACAATATTATTAAATTAAACCAAAATTTAGGTCCTTAAACTTTTGTATGGACTCCTAATTTGGTCTTTGAACTTAATAAATCATTATTTTGGGACAAAAAAAAAGGAGTTAAAAACTTGAGAAAATTCCTTTGTAATGGGTTCATCAGATTTTTTTTTCTTTCAAATTAAGTGAAGGCAGAATTTTAAGTCTTATATAAATAAAAATGCTCTAATTAAATTTCTCATATGTATATTAGAATTTTTTAAAAGGTCTATAATACCATTTTTTTGGCATAATTAAAATATTAATTATTCATTAATTTTTATTAAATAAAATTAAAATTTTAAAAAAGAATAATAAGTGAAACTCTCTTTCTGGTTTTTTTATTATTTTGATTAATAGTTTTTATTTTAACAATTAAACCTATTCAAAAATTTAGTTTTGATTACCAAATATTTGATTTTTTTTAACAAGGTTAATTCAATTAACAAATTCCTTTTAATATTTTTAATAAAAAAAAAAGTTCTTTTATCAGTACTCAAAGTAAAATATTTCAAGTAATTAAAACTTCAATTGAATTAATCAAACAAATTTATTCTAAATATCTAGTGATTCGGAATTGAAGAAAATACATTCACCTCTAATGATAAAAGAAATATTGAAAAATTTGTGTAGAGAGTTTTGATTGTTATTTTTTTTAATTTTATGGTAATTTGTTTAACTAATATTAATAAAATTTTAATATTTTGACAATTACATCCAAAAAAAATATTATAGATATTATAAAAGTTCTTGATACACTTATCATAAAATTTGTTAAAATATTTTCATTTATTAAGATTTCAAATTGTATTTTCACTAAATAATGAAAATAAATCTTGTAAATCGTACCAAAATAGAAATTTCTCTAAAAACTTTATCAATAAAAATAAAAATTTATTTAGTTAAAATACTAAATTAGAGATCATATAAACATTTAACCTTTTAAATTTAACAGCATTAATTACATTAAATAGGCGCACCATTTCCTCATGAACGGGTTCAATCCTGTCCTATGTGAAATTATTATATATATATATATATATATATAGAGGTCGTACCAAAGTTAAAAGGACCAAAATTAAGGTTTACCAAGACTTCTCCGGTGGTGTATATTGAGGGGACGGGGACTGAAGGGGATTGAATCCAAATACTGTAGTCCAAGTAATTGCACCCACTCACCACTTGGGCTGGTAGCAAAAAATGTACAGTGCACAATTTACGAAGCTGTAGGTAACACCAATTTGGTCTAGTCTGCTTCAATTCAGCTGTACCCAATATCAACAGATTTTTTATCAGTTTGACTTAGTCAACCCATATAACGATTTGTACCTCTGTTTAGGCTGCAGCCTAACGGTTTTTTGTATGAAATTGGGCAGTCCCGTTCTGGTCTTCATCAAAACACTTGGGAGCTCCTGCGTGAAGACGTCGCCTTTTTTTTTTTTTCCTTTTACCTTAAATCTCCACTTTATTAAAAAAACACTACACTTTGTTAACAATATCCTCATTTAACTAAGGATTTGGTTCTCAAATAAGGAGGTGTTATAATACATTAATAAAATTGTTTTTGAATGGATTAATCTTGAATCGTTTTGAATACTCTAATGGTTAAAATTTTATTTAAAAAAAAAAAAACCAATATTCATTTCGTGGATTCTTCCTATCCAAGATTTGTCGCTGAATAACATGTCCATGTCAAGGTAGGGTGAACAAAGTACTAACGGTCACGTGGAAGTTGTGACATTGAATTGGGGAGATTTCTACCAGATGAAAAGTTTCGGAGTTCATTAATTCGCCACGCAAAAACCATAAGGATCT